GGCCCGTCCGGCGTGCTCGGGTCAGACCGCTAGACACCGGCCGCAGCCCGCAGAGTCCGCCCCACCAGCCCACAGGAGGGCATTGTCCGAGATAATGTGATGGAAGGACTCCTTATGATACGTCACGCTCAATCAGATGGCGTAAAAGGGTGGCTTAATGGCAGCATATTCACGGCTCTCAACCCGGAATTGACACCCACGATGCTCTTTGTTTCTTTCTCCGTGTGCCGGCCCGAACCGCTAAAGATAGAGGAGCTTCCATGGACGTCATTTACCTCTGTCGGGCACGCCCTCGTATGACTTCGCTATCTACTCTGCGGAAACTTGTGGGCAAGATTTGAATCAGGGCTCCATCTCGAGCGTAACTGCAGCACTGACCAAATATTGCAAATGACTGCTGTTTAACGGAAATGAAAAGTCTGCTGTTTATGAGTTTTGGCTTCATATCCATCTCCATCTCCATCTACAATTTCCTTCTCCGTTTTTATCCTCACGCTCTTTTCCTCTGTCTCTTCCTTTCTCTTCCCATTCCCTTCCCTCCCCTTCCATTATCTCGCACCTTAGTCTCGGTCTCCCATAATATATGTAGAGCCGACTTTCGCTACATGATCGGACCCTGACCGTGGGTCGGGTATGCGGTCCGTGCGGCCAAAAATGCCGCCTCTCTATAAAGCCGACCGGCCTGTGCCGCGTGCCGGGGTCAGAGGTCAGTGCTCGCTCCTGGCCGCTGTGGTCAGCGTGCGGCCGACCGGTACGCGACGGGGAGGGGGAGGGGGCATGAGGTTAGCGGAACGCTGCACGCCGGTAGTGCCGGTTCCGCCTGATCATCACCGGAGGGGGGGGGGGGAGAGAGACGGTGCGAAGCAGTGCGGAGGAGGAAATTCCCGGGACGCAGAACACAGGCCTGTGGTGCAGCCAGTCAAGTCTGCATTATTTGGCATTCAGCCTATGCAAGAAGCCTTTAACTTTTTTTTTAATTCGAACTGAACGGCTTGTGAATGTGATTATACCATGGCTCTTTGATAATGTGTCAGCTGATCAGCAGGATTCGATTTTGATGATATACCTAACTCTCAGATTATTTTCCATTTAAGTTGAACCTGTTTCCGCAAATTTGGTAACATGTCTTATTCTCCTGAAGTTTCAGGTCAAACATCCACTAAGGCCCTTTAACGATATACTGCATAGTGTACATTCAACATTGTGCTACCATTCATGATTAATTATACCTTTCTATGGGCCATTGGCATTATTTAAAGAACATTTTTGTCTGGATTGATAAGATCAACAAATACTTCGACGGTAATACCGTCGGTTGTATTTTGCCTGATACTGTCCCCTCACTTATAATTGTAACTTCTTTTTGGTTTCAAGACGGTGATTTTTGGCCTCAGGTCATGAGGCAGTTGAGCCATGACTAAGGTCCTTGGAGGCGAATTCAATGAAAGAAGTTATGAAGAAAAAGATTAAAACGTACAATTCAGCTAACAATGCCATAGTCTGGACTCTGTAATAGCCCAACATGTCAATGTTCAGTCCTAGGGCGGCTGTTATATGAGCAGTGAGCTGAAATGGGATGATGGCATTTAGTCGGAGGACGAGGGACCTCGGCTGTGTAAGTGCAGACAAGAGATGATGACTGAGCTCAATGTCAGGGCCGAATTCATGCATTGAGACGGTCGCGGACAGCAGGCAGGGCTCATGTGGTGGATGCTCGAGGGTACTTTCCCGGATGAAATATTCAGTGTTTGTTTGCTGTCTCAGACACCATCGTTGTGACTCCTTTTGCATGCTGTAGGACTGCATGTCGGCGCCCCTCCATGATGCCTTCTTTACCCTTGTCACATTCAGGCAATGAGCACTGTAACAAAGCCCTATGAAGAACTGAGACTCAGTTTTTGAAGGCAGAAACTCAAATTTGGTGCCACCAAAGCTATGATATCTGGCAGTGGGCCTTCTGTCATTGGCTCTTTGAAGACGTCTCAGCCAATGAACTTTGGAGCCGCATAGCTGGATGTTGGATTTGAACCGTCGGCCCCGCGTACCGTACGCCCCACGTACGACTTGCCCGGGTGGTTCCCGGTTTTCTGTTACGCTATAGCTCGGCTGTCATTAGCAAATCATCCATTCCTGATTAACTATGCAGTGACATTGACTGACATTGTGTGCAGATGTTAGATATTCCTGTTCAGTGTCTACTACGGGTGCGGTCGCCAAACTGAAAGCATAGGCGGCGGAACGGGGAGGGCACCGGGGCACCTTTAATTTTGGCATTTTAACATTAGCCCTATGGGCGCTGCATGGAAAGAATGGGACCAAAAGTCGGCAGTGCGGAGTGCCCCCACCCCCCTACCCCCTAATTGAAGGTGTTCCGCCGCTACTGACTGAAAGTGCATTTCCGTAACTGCCATGTTTACCATAATTACCTATGGCCATTAATTGTTGAATATTACACCCATGGCTTACCTTTCTCATGGGCATTCAGCATCTCATGGACTAGCACAGCGTGGGTGCCTTCCGTTAGAAGCCTTGTGGGTAGTTATCAAACACGTGTCCTCGCTGCTGCATGAGAGCGGTATTGAAACTCACATTACGTATGTAACGCTGGACATGAATTAACCCGGCAGTTGCTGGGGTATTTCGCCACCCACCGTTTGCTGGGGGGGGGGGGGCGTTAAACGCCCCCAGCCGATAACTCGAGAACCAATAGGCGCAGCGAAACGCACGAGGCGGCAAACGAAAGAACGCGACGAGACGCTTCAGATGAGTACTTTAAAGTTGAATTTTGAGGTCACAGGTCGGGTCAAGGTCAGGTCAAACACCTGAAATCGGGCTTTCAGTAGCATGGACTTCAGGACTTCGCAATGGGCGCCTCTCGTCATAAACTCCGTCAAAACGGTGCACAATCCATCATATAATACCTGCAAGAGTGTCAGCTCCATGTAGGGGTCAGTAAAGCATAGGTCAGGGTCAAGGTCAGGTCAACCGGGTAGGCACATATCCCCGAAAATCAAAACTGATATTCGCAGCCTGTGACACATGTTTTATGGGTAATTTGGAGCGTAGAACACGATGGTGACATTCATTTTATCATATGAGTACGTGTTTGGCTTAAAAAGTTCAATTTAAGAAATGCATGTATCATGGACGTGAAGTAGTCACGAGAAATTGCCAAGATTCAGTTCAAGATTTTGGAAAATGCGGAACGATAATCAATAATCGAAGATAGCCATTTGATTGCTCATGGTATTGGCAGTCTAATGGCGTTTACGGCATGTCTGTATGTCTATTCTGTGATTTTATATGATTTTTTGAACATATGCCATTTTTGGCCGAAAACTCAGAAATTATGACGTCACTAAAACCTCGATATCTCAAATATTTTCCGACCGATTTTTTTGAAACTTTGTCACAATACACTTCAATCAATTCCCTACAGGTACCCAAAATTTGGCGCGCCTGCGGCGCGCCGTTTTTATGCTATGGCCCGGCGAAAAAAGTGGGGGCGTTTAACGCCCCCGGGTGCGTATTATTTAGGCCAGGGTTCATAATGTCCAGGGTAAGATGTGTCCAGTGCTCGAAATGACCAGTGCCTTGAATTGGCCAGTGTTCATATTGTCCAGGGTTTGGATGGTCCAAATGTGGCCAACTGGCTGCAGATAGGGTAAATTCAAAGAGGCCAGGGTTCATAATGTCCAGGGCACGATGTGTCCAGTGCTCGAAATGGCCAGGGTTCATAATGTCCAGGGCACGATGTGTCCAGTGTTCGAAATGGCCAGGGTTCATAATGTCCAGGGCACGATGTGTCCAGTGTTCAAAATGGCCAGTGCCTTGAATTGGCCAGAGTTCATAGTGTCCAGGGATTACACAGTCAACCAAACCAAACCAAACCAAACCTAACCTAACCTAACCTAACCTAACCTAACCTAGCCTAACCTAACCTAACCTAACCTAACCTAACCTAACCTAACCTAACCTAACCTAACCTAACCTAACCTAACCTAACCTAACCTAACCTAACCTAACCTAACCTAACCTAACCTAACCTAACCTAACCTAACCTAACCTAAGGTAATGATGTTTGCCTACCGGGGATAAGGAAATAGTTTCTCGCATGAATAGATTGCAAGCAATAGTAAATCAAATATTTTTAGGTTAAGTGGTTATGCATCAGGCTTCAGGCCTTCGGCCTGAAGCCAGATACATAACCACTTAACCTAAAAATATTTGATTTACTATTGCCTGTAATCTCTCCTAAGGCATTGCCTTCGGCACTGCACTGCTTCGCATTGAGCTGGTTCCGTGTTTTTACATAATGACGTCACTTTCAATGACTATGTAATCCCTGGACATTATGAGCTCTGGCCCATTCAAGGCACTGGCCATTTTGAACACTGGACACATCGTTCCCTGGACATTATGAACCCTGGCCATTTCGAACACTGGACACATCGTGTCCTGGACATTATGAACCCTGGCCATTTCGAACACTGGACACATCGTGCCCTGGACATTATGAGCCCTGGCCTCTTTGAATATACCCTATCTGCAGCCAGTTGGCCGCATTTGGACTATGCAATCCCTGGACATTATGAACTCTGGCCTATTCAAGGCACTGGCCATTTCGACACTGGGCATATCGTACCCTGGACATTATGAACCTTGGCCAGAATGAATGTTCCCCAACGCCCCCCCCCCCCGCAACTCGCGGGTTAAGAGCGTACTATTTTGTTCCTCATCGTTTGGTGTATTGGCGTCCATATTGGACAACCGCAATGGAACATTTTCATCATGTACGGGGCAAAAGTTGACGCTAATTTGTTGGTAGTTTTGGCAATAGAGTCAATCATAGTCGGTCAACCGGTTTGGTAACGATCACTGGATTCAAAATATCGTCCGGGACCGGTTCCAACTCATGTAGTGCGTCTTGTACTGTTGTCCATCGAGGAACAGTTGACACTAAGTAGCCGGAATTAACCATGGTTTGTGTTCTTTTCCAGCTAAACACCTATGGGCCATTGCGTGGGACCACCTGAAGGCCTTCGTTGCCGACCTGCTCGATGTCAGGATGCTGCCCATCAAACTCCTGTTCTTCATGGAACTGGCAGGTGAGGGGAGACGGCAGCGAACCGCCGCGGAGACCGGTCCTTTCACACGCGCCGCAAAAAGTAGGTAGGCATGGTATAACTTGGAAACTGAGTACTGTTGGCAACAGGACGGTTTTTGTTTTCGCTTTTTTTGTATCACATTACATAAGCCATATCGGGAGCTAGTTGCATGTGATTACCATGCGTTTTCCGCTTATGCGGAAGGAAACACTCTTAGGAACACTCGGGGCATAACAGCCACCGTTGACCGTACCTGATTCCCATGAGATGTTAGACCTACGTTGAAGATCTTTCCCATTTTACATTTAATGATATTTAATAAATCTCATGCTCTGCTATCTAACCGTTGATACTTTTGCTTAAGGAGAGATAGCGAGTGCTCAGTTCGGTGCCAAGGTGAAGGCACGGGTTCAGTTTCTAAAACATTGAGGAACCATGATATTGAGAGGACAAAAAGGATGTGAGGTATACCTTTTGTTTTCGATGAGTTGAAATGAATGATAAATTTCAGTAGCATCGGATTTAAGGCCTGTGTTTATCGTCAGCATTCCAGGAGTCACATGGAAGTCCGGGGCTCGCAGACTGAGGTCATTGACGAAAATAATAAAAACGGAGCTAGGACGGACCCTTGTAAAGCCTCCATGGTATTCGGCAGGGGGTTGGAATTGAAACCACTTCAAAGCCGGAAGGACTGAGTAGAATTATAATTTGTAATGAGAGGAGGCAGCCGATGCGGTGGTGTCATTCTGGTCAAATGGACGCCCCCACACTGCCCTCCTGCCCCCCGTGGGCGCGCCGGGGGACCCTATCCTGCAGGTGGGGGCTCCGCCCGGGGGTGCACCCCAGTGACCCACTTGGCAGTCGGCCAAACGAAGCTGAGCCATTGCAACATGACATGTTTGGTGCCCGGGGGCTGAAGTTAGTCCGTTCTGTGTCAAGGTCAGGGTAAGTGGAGCGGCGACTGCTCTGTGACGTGTGTCCGGCCGGCCGGCCCGTGTGTTGACGCGGTGTCCGACCTGTGTTGACGGCTGTGTCAGATGTTTGGGTACTCAGTCAATGATGCGCCGGTAACGGCAGGCTATGGGAGACTTTGGGAGGCTGTGGGGTGCTTATTGCGTAGGTACTTGTATAGCGGGCTATATCAGGGGATGTTAATATGTCACATGGTGATAATGGCTCTCCGGGAAAGATACGCGTTGGCGGGACAGAACGCTTGCACAGTTTACACGTCTTGCGTGCATATCTAATAATGCGATAAGTCGAACATATAGACTGTTGTTTAGTATAGAAGTGAATGAGTAATCTATAGCTGCTATTATAACTCTTAACTCTCGTATACCTAGACAAGGTAACTACAGAGAAGAGGTTGACGACAGAGAAAACACATCCATGTTATTAAAATTCATAACGTTTTTCGAGTTCAGTTCAATGTATTGTTGTCGGCTGCATACTTTTGCCTAACATCGCCACTCGACGCCATTTCTAACTCCATTTGCCGTGCTGGTGACGTGTGACCCACTACGTGCGCAGGTATCGTCACCATCTGGCCGCACATGTCGACGCACATGGCGCACCTGCGGCTGACGGCAGAGGAGACGGGCCTGATCGTGATGCTGGGCGGCGTGGCCGGCATCGTGGCCGCCCTCTCCGCCGGCTACATCGGCGACAAGATGGGCAACTTCAAGGTCAGCACAGCGGGCGCCGGTCCGGGGGCCGTTCGTAAACACAAACATCATCATCATCACGGCACTAATGTCAGAGATGACCGTCTACCCCGTGCCTGTGCTGCACCAAAACTTCTACCAGCTTTTACTTCTCAGATTTCAAAGTTTTAGGCTTCTTTTATTTATGTTGATGTATGTATTTGCGTACATAAGTGAGCGCTGATTTTAGTTACGATGTCCAGGCCCCCAGACTTTTTTTAACCGTTTCCTGTCATCGCTGGTCGACGGTCGTTTAAGTTTTGCCTGACGTATGATAACATTTTATGGCCTATCCTTGCTCAGCCGGCTGGCACTGTACTGAGTTGCTGACTACTGAGTAGCATTCAGGTGACGGTGATGCGGTGATCTCTCACCTGCTAGCCCCTACTGTTCCTCCTGTACCCTCACCACAATGAAATCGACTGATGTCGGCTGCTTGGTGATAGCGCTATCAAGTTATACATTTAAGCGATAACCTACCTTCTTTAGCCTTCACAACCTATAGCTATCGCGAATTACAGCTGTTCCGTTTTAGAACTCCTGGTACGCCTTATAGTTAGTCCCATCGCCGTCCAGTCGCGCAGACCCCAAACAGAAGTCTGCCTATGCATTCATCCAGTGACCGCGGCGACCACGCTGGTCGCTCCGCGGCACCGTCCGATCGACCACCCTCGTGGTTTGGCCGGGGCAGCGCGGGCCGACCGTGTCTCGCTTGTGCCGTCCAGTGGGACGGTCCTGTCCCCAGTCACGTGCCATTCAGGGGGGGGGGGAAGCATGGCCACCGCATCCTCCCTCTCTCCTTTCAGTCCGCGCTGTCCAGAGGGATTATCAGCTCCCCCTTCCTGCCTCCTCCCCGTCCTGTCCCGCGTGCCATTCAGGGGGTAGTGGCCACCTTCTCCCTGCACCCCGTCCTGTGTCGTCCAGGGGTGACTATCAGGCTCCTCCCTCCATGCACTGTGCCGCCTATACGGACTATCACCGCCTTCTCCCTGTCTCGCCGTCTGCATTCAGCCGGTGGAAGGCAATGCATACAAATTACACTGGCTAAGGTGTTCTGCTTATCCATTTTGACCATGTGCCAACAACAAAACAGGTAATCGATTGTGTGTCAGTACGTGGGGACTACTGATGAATCGCTGACTGCAGCCGCCGAGTCTTCCCCTACCGTTTTTAGTAGCGTGGTCCGTGGAAAGTCGTTCCGTTGTCTGATCCATCAATCCGCTCTCCGTTTGGGTATCTATAACGCTGAACATTCGTCGATTGGTTCTCCTTGCCGTTGATTCAGCAGACTTTATTGCGTGCCCATTCTTTTTCACGACGCCGGACTTATGCTTTGCCCCCTGTCTAATGGTGGCAATTTCTAGTGGCTAATCCTCATTGGATGGCCGTATGAAGGCACCTGGTGCATGGTATCAACCTCCCATTCCCTTCTCCTCCCGTTATAATCATAATCATAATCATGTATTTCGGAAAACATCCATCGGGTGGGTTTTCAGTTATCCACGTCATACAAGTACCCAACATAATTCCTACAATATATCACACAAAAGAAGGACATGTACCCGACTAAAATCCTTAAAATGGTTAAAATACCTACAAGCAGGGCTGCGGAGTCGATGGATTTTCGGCGACTCCGACTCCGACTCCGACTCCGGCTTTTAAAGACCAGCTCCGACTCCGACTCCGACTCCGGGCAGAATTGTCGACTCCGACCGACTCCAACTCCCGACTCCGACTCCGCAGACCTAGCAGGGCTGCGGAGTCGACAGATTTTCGGTGACTCCGACTCTGACTCCGGCTCGGGTTTCTAAAATCGACTCCGACTCCGACTCCGACTCCGGTCATAACTGTCGACTCCGACCGACTCCGACTCCGACTCCGACTCCGACTCCGCAGCCCTGCCTACAAGGTCTCAAGCGAGATCACTAGATCAACCGGCACCGGTCACCTGCCTCTTGAAAGAAGCGTAGGTGGCGGAGCTCCTCACACATCGTGGCAGCTCATTCCACGCCCTTACGGCTCGGGCGTAGAACGACCGTCTGGCGAATTCGGTGCGCGTGCGCGGCACCTCGAGTTGGCCGTCGACAGTGGCCCTCGTCTCACGTGCAGCTACATCGGAACGACTGGTAATCCGTGTGCGTAACACCTCCGAGGCCCTGGTATCGTGTAACAGTCGGTACATGACACAGCTGTCGTGCTCAGTTACCATCTGCTCGATCCGTTTCCACCCTAGCTCTCGCAGCGTTTCCGTGACATGTTCTCGGTATCCTAGGCCGGTTACAACGCGAGCGCCAAAGTTGATGCACTTCTGCAGTCTGCGTTTCTGTGTGACGGAACAGCTTCCCCACACAGAGCTACAGTACCGCAGGTGGGGAAACACCAGCGTCTCCACCAGCAGCTGCTTCGTCTCTCGAGGTATACGGCGCTGCATTCTCGCGAGACCAATCAGAATCGAGTAGCATCGCCTGACAACCGCCGTTACATGCTGCTCCCACGACAGACACGAGTCAAGAGTCACACCCAGAATCTTGGACGATCGTACAGAGTTAATAGAAGAGCTGCCAAATTTCACTGTGAAGTCACCGGTGACAATTTTTCGAGCTGATTTGAGAAGAAGCATGTCGGTTTTCGTAGGGTTGACCTTAAGCCTATTTTGGGTGAACCACCGCAAGGCGACAGACAGCATGTTCTCCACGCGACACTTCAGCAGAGGTAAGTTCTCCGACAGGTCGGTGTCCAAGAACTGTACATCATCGGCGTACATGACAAGCTTGCCGTACGGCACGTGCTGCGGCAGGTCGTTGGTGAACAGGAGGAACAGTACGGGGCCCAGGATCGACCCCTGTACCACCCCGTGCGTCACCGGTAGTGTCTCGCCTGTTCCTCCCTTCACCGTCTGACAGCGACCAGTGAGCCACGCGCGAAACCAACGCTCGTCCACCCCATACCATCCCAGCTTCTCCAGGAGACGGCCATGCTCGACGCTGTCAAATGCCTTGGATGTGTCTGCCGTCACCAATGACGTCACGCGTCCATTGTCCACGTTATCGACGGCGAACGTGACAGCATCGAGCAGGGCCGCCTCCGTGGAGAGTCCGGGGCGGAAGCCATACTGTTGGTGGCACAGAATGTTATGGCTCACGAGGTAATCAGTGAGCTGCGTGCATATAACACGCTCACAGAGCTTAGAAACGACAGGCAGTATTGACACAGGTCGGTAGTTGCTCGGCACATCCACGTCACCACCCTTATGCAGAGGAACAACTACAGCGGTCTGCCATGCCAGTGGCAGCTCACAGCGCGTGATGCAGCTGTTCACAACATGCAGTATGTGCGGTCCGGTAACACTAAAAGTCATTCGGAGCATCGCGATGGTTATGCCGTCAGCTTCGCTGGCCTTTGACGCCCCCATTCTCTGAAGCGCTGCCGATAGCTCCGGCAGCGTGGCCGGCCGCGGGCTGAATGCCCCGCTGCAGACGCGCGGCGGCCTAGGGCTGAGCGTCTCTCCAGCATCCTCTTCTGCCAGGGCTTCTGCCACAGCAGGACCGACGGTTGCGAAGTGCTTGTTCAGGCGGCTGTACCAGCTCTCCGGTCGAGCTGCGGGTGTGTCGCGGGGCCGTTCCGTTGGTGGGTGCCCGACACCAGCGCCTACTTCCCCTCCCTACGGCAGGCGTCCGTACCTGGATCTGGTGCTGCTCACAGAGGGACTGACCTCTCCCATCCCTTTCCCTCGGCCCTCCCCTTGGCAGGCGCTGCTCAGAGAGGGACTGACTCCCCTCCCTCCCTTCCCTTGTCTTCCTCCTTCCCTCTCTTCGGCAGGCGCTGGTCATAGAGGGACTCGGGACTCCCTTCCTCTCCCTCCCCTCCTCTCGTGCCTGGGTCTGGCGCGAGGGACTGGCCATAGAGGGACTAGCCTCCCTTCTCTCCTCTTCTCTCCCCCTCCTATCCCGCCCCTCACCTCGATAGGTGTACCTGGGCCTGGCGCTGCTCGTAGAGGGGCTGACCTCCCGCCCTTCCCCAGTTGCAGATGTACCTGGACCCGGCGCTGCTCATACAGGGACTGACCTCCCGCCCCTCCCCATTTGCAGATGTACCTGGGCCTGGCGCTGCTCGTAGAGGGGCTGACCTCCCGCCCCTCCCCATTTTCAGATGTACCTGGGCCTGGCGCTGCTCGTAGAGGGGCTGACCTCCCGCCCCTCCCCATTTGCAGATGTACCTGAGCCTGGCGCTGCTCATACAGGGACTGACCTCCCGCCCCTCCCCATTCGCAGGCGTACCTGGGCCTGGCGCTGCTCATAGAGGGAGTGACCTCCCGCCCCTGCCCATTTGCAGGCGTACATCAACATGGGCGTGGCGCTGCTCGTAGAGGGGCTGACCTCCCACCCCTCCCCATTTGCAGATGTACCTGGACCCGGCGCTGCTCATACAGGGACTGACCTCCCGCCCCTCCCCATTCGCAGATGTACCTGGGCCTGGCGCTGCTCAGACTGAGTACTGACCTCCCGCCCCTCTCCATTTGCAGGTGTACCTGGGCCTGGCGCTGCTCAGACTGAGTACTGACCTCCCGCCCCTCTCCATTTGCAGATGTACCTGGGTTTGGCGCTGCTCATAGAGGGCGTCGCCGGCGTGTGCCTGGTGCTGCTGCCGCCGGCCGTGCAGCAGGTAGTGCCGCCTGGCGACGCCTCGCTGAACCACCACTGCGTGGACGATTACCTGCACATCAACTGGCGGATGGAGAGCTGTGAACCGCACTTTAGCCTGGCCTCGCTCAACGTGACGCTGCGGGAGTGCCGGCTGTCCTGTCACAGTGTGAACGGGAGTCAGCCGTCGGTGGGCCAGCTGCACTGCGGAGACGACCCGGCCAGGTGAGAGAGAGCGAGTGACTCCTCATCCTGACCCGGCCAGGTGAGAGCGACTGACTCCTGACCCGGCCAGGTGAGAGTGGAGTGCCCCCTGACCCGGTCAGGGGAGAGTGGGCGACTCCTGACCCGGCCAGGTGAGAGCGGGCGACTCCTGACCCGGCCAGGTGAGAGTGGAGTGCCTCCTGACCCGGCCAGGTGGGAGAGTGAGTGACTCCTGACCCGGCCAGGGGAGAGCGGGCGACTCCTGACCCGGCCAGGTGAGAGCGGGCGACTCCTGACCCGGCCAGGTGAGAGTGGAGTGCCTCCTGACCCGGCCAGGTGGGAGAGCGAGTGACTCCTGACCCGGCCAGGGGAGAGCGAGTGCCTCCTGACCCGGCCAGGTGAGAGCGAGTGCCTCCTGACCCGGCCAGGGGAGTGCCCCTGACCCGGCCAGGTGAGAGCGAGTGACTCCTGACCCGGCCAGGTGAGAGCGAGTGCCCCCTGACCTGACTAGGTCAGAGGGAAGTGCCCCCTGACCCGGCCAGGTGAGAGCGAGTGCCTCCTGACCCGGCCAGGGGAGTGCTCCTGACCCGGCCAGGTGAGAGCGAGTGCCTCCTGACCCGGCCAGGTGAGAGAGCCAGTGCCTCCTGACCCGGCCAGGTGAGAGCGAGTGACTCCTGACCCGGCCAGGGGAGTGCCTCTGGCCAGGCCAGGTGAGATGGGAGTGACTCCTGACCCGGCATATTTGATGGACATATTTGATGGAGGGGCGTGCATCCACAAGCTGGTTTGCTGAGCCCATTTGTAACGACACTATTAGATCGGTTACGGTCTCTGAAGTCCGAACAGTGTCGTGGCCTGAGTGCAGTAACTGATGCCGTTTTCTTCGTTCAGTCCGTGTAACACGTCTAGCTGCTCGGTGCTCTCAGTTCACGCGTCTCCGTCTCTCCCTCACAGCTGCTCGGCGCTCTCAGTTCACGCGTCTCCGTCTCTCCCTCACAGCTGCTCGGTGCTGTTCCCGCCGCCCAGCCTGGCCACGGGCGCACCTCTCAGTGTTCTGATGGTCAACTCCACCGACAACTCGACGCGACTGCACGTGGTGCCGGCCGGCGGCGGCGGCGCGCGGCCCGTGGCCTGCCCGCCGCCGGCCGTGGCCCAGTCGTGTCGCCTGCAGTGCGCCGACTCGCTGCCGCTCTCCGTGGTCTGCGCGCCGCGGGACGACCGGCAGAGTCACTCGCTGACACTGTGGCTGTACGTCTTCCTGCGCGTGGTCTACTCGTTCTGCCTGGGTACCACGTACACGCTGATCGACACGACGGTGCTCTCCTACTGCGCGCTGTTCAACGTCGACTACGGCTTCCAGCGCCTGTGGGGCACCGTGGCCGCGCTCATCGTCTCGCCGCTCTCCGGCAAAATCATGGACCTCTTCAGCACCGTCGGAGTGATCGAATTCAGGTGAGGCGCCGAGGTACGATCCATGGAGCTATGATGAAATGGGAAGGGGGAGGGGCCTCGGCCTGAGATGCTGTGAATAGACGATATTATTGGTTTTGCTTGTGTATGCTTTTTCCGATTTAAGACTTGCCTTCGAGCTGCCAAATGTGTTTGATATTGTAGTCGTTGAAGTGCTTTTACCTTCTTCTGAAGCGTCATTTTGTTATTCTAGCTTAGAAATATGAAGGCACTGTGATTAATTGTATTTTAGTGTGTCTGGTATCTCTTTATTGAATCAGTACCTATTAAAATGTTCATGTTTCATCGTTCAGTTGCCCCATAGTCCATTTTTAGTACATCATTGACAAGGGTCCCTTTCGACCCGTTGTGTGCACAGGCCCGGTTTCTATACGATGGCGGCGTTTCGGTTCCTCTCACTGGTGGTGCTCTACTTTGTGAACATCAGCTTCCGCCACAGTCCCTCCGGGTCGCTCTTCAAGTACACGATCAGACTCTTCCAGAAGATAGAGCTCACGGTGCTCTTCCTGGTGATGCTGCTCACAGGTCAGTGAGCTTTCTGGTCAGAGGTCAGTGACCTTTCTGGTCAAAAGTCAACGACTCTTCTAGTCAAAAGTCAGTGACCCGACTGCAGCGCTCGACGCGGGGTCCAGGGGTGGCTTTGAACGTAGCTGAATTACAGGGAATTAACTACATCAGACGTCTTTGGGTCTGTGTCAAACCACAGCTTCTGTTGCGGTGCCCGTGTTGTGCAAGTCCGCAGAGAGACCTGATCATAGTCTTGTGCGGTCCATACTCCAAACATGAAGAGGTACACAGATGATAATCCTTTGATCCTGTTTACGTCAGCTACCGACGACCGGGCTCACCGGCCCGACCGGCTACTTATACGAGCTGCAGCCTAATCCCACAAATAATGCGGCACTTATCACGGAAGTCTCACCATGGCCATAATTCATTTCTTTGTGTCAATTAGAAAGTGCCCATTGGCAGTCTGAACCGAGGTTATTTGTGGTCATCTTCGCCGTGTAGGGGAAGTCATGGATGTAAAAGTGATGATTACCTTAGAAAAGGTGAGATTTAAAAAACAAAAAAAGTCTTAAAACTCATCTGGTCGTCTCTCGCAATCTTCTCTGTGATCTATCTGTCCTCTCTGACCTCTATGTATACCTTTCTAGCGGTCCCTCTGCCGTTTCCGCGGCCACTGTCTTTCGACCCATTGGACCGCCCATCCGGCATATCTGTCCGCTCCTCTATGTTATCTTGTTTAACTGCATATCGTCTACAGGTTAGCCCCAATTAACGACGAAGTCACACATTAAAATGGCGTAACATAAATACGCGATGCCACTGTAAAACACCATGACATGAACAATGAACATACACAATACAAAACCAAGTGCATACGTCAATACGGACCTCCTACAAGGGCGAAACATGCGAGATGACATGAGAGCCATATGTGTAGAGAGTCGAGAAATATGTCAGCCTGTCTGCGCCTAACTAAAACGTATTCCCGACTCTCTATCCGTCTCTCTATCCGTCTCTCTATCCGTCTCTCTGACCGCCTCCCTATCCGTCTCTCTGACCGCCTCCCTATCCGTCTCTCTATCCGTCTCTCTATCCGTCTCTCTGACCGCCCCCTGCCCGCCTCTGACCGCCTCTCCGCTCTGCGCCACAGGTATGGCCGTGGGCCACATCGAGACGTTCAGCTACGTGTTCCTGTCGCAGCTGGGCGCCAGCGGCACGCTGATCGGCACCACCATCACGGTCGGCAGCGCCGTAGAGCTGGTCATGCTCTCCGTGTCGGGACTCTGTATGAGCGCCGTCGGCCAGGTCGGCCTCATCGTGCTCGGCATGGTCATCTACGCCGTCAGGTTGATAGGTAGGTGGCGCCGCTCGAAAGCGCTTAGAACTTAGAAGCGCCTATCGGCATGGACCGAATGGATGGCTGGTGGAAATGAAATGCCGCAGCGGCATCCATGAATGAATGAATGAATGAATGAATGAATGAATGAATGAATGAATGAATGAATGAATGAATGAATGGATGGATGGATGGATGGATGGATGGATGGATGAATGAATGAATGAATGAATGAATGAATGAATGAATGAATAAATAAATAAATAAATAAATAAATAAATAAATAAATAAATATAAATAAATATATTAATTAATTAATTAATTAATAAACGAATTAACATTTAATGATAAATGATATCCTATAAGTAAAATAACGGTGCAGCCAAGATCTCCGACAGTAATAACTGTATAATGTGCGAAAAGTGATAAGGTTTTACCGCATGAACAAGAAATTGTTGATATCAACTGAACACGCGTTTTATAATTGAATCAACGCTAACGAGTGTCTCACGGTTTGGGCAGGTTATTCGCTGATTGTCGACCCGAGCCTGAGCCTGCTGCTGGAGGCGCTGGACGGCGTCAACAGCGGCCTAATGAACGCCGCCGTGGTGACGTACGCCGCCTCCAAGGTGGAGCCCGAGCTGGTGGCCACCGTGCGCGGCATCCTCGGCTGCTTCCTCTTCGGCGGCGGTGAGGCACCGCCACTCGGCCATCGCCACTGGGAGGGGCGCGGTTTTCCTCAGAGGGACGGAGGGGTTCCGCGATGCTTTGAAGGAGCGGCTTATGTAGCGTGTTAACTTCGGTGTTCATTCATCCGGTGTATTTAAATGATGTTTCCAATGATGAACTCATTCCATCTCCGCCATCCATCTAACCGTCTTACGTCTTCCATCCGCTCTCCAATCAACCTCGCATCAGCTGATAGCTGGAGTGGTCACCTCTGCTCCGCCAGCAAACCTCTGCAGCTCCATTCGAGCTGATTTGTTACGCCTTTTTCACTTCTGACCTTCGCCCCTCCAGTTCGCTGCTAGTCTGATCACTGCTCCCTCTCGCTGACCCCTGACCCTCTCGCTGACCCCTGACCCCCATCTGACAGCGCCCCTCTCTGCGCTGCCGCAGGTCGCGCGGTGGGCGCTCAGCTCGGTGGGTACCTGGTGGCGCGATTCGGTCACCGGGTGGCGTTCCGGATATTCGCCGGTGTGGCGCTGTTCGCAGCTGCTGCCTACGCGCTGTTTCAGCTGGCAATGCGGCGGCGACGGTCCGGCGACTTCCAGCCGGCCCCGGCCGACTCGGTCCGGGGGTGTCCGGCCCCGCGGTGTGCCGCCTAGGGGAGGGGAGGGGGCAGCACCGCGGTGTGCCGCTTAGGGGAGGGGAGGGGCGGCCCCACGGTGTGTCGCCTATATGGGGAGGGAGGGGGCACCGAGGTGTGCCCCTATAGGGGAAATGGCGGGAAGGAGCCAGGCGACGCACTGCACCGCCTAGGAAATGTGGGTGCCGTAGGGGAGCTGTGCAGCTTAGGAGGAGAGGTTGTTGTAACTGGGAAGACTTAGTCTCATGAGAGTGACTGAGCATTGAGCAAGAGATAGATGCCCCTTGGATTGCATATAAAGGCTGTGCGTAAAAGTAACTTCTGAATTTTGTTAATATCTTTTCATTGAAGCATGTGTGATATATGTCTTCCTTGGGCTGTTGCGAATGATGTTGTAGAAAGTAGAAAACTATCTCCCTGAATTTTCATGCTCAACACCTGGACGTTGGATGCATGTAAAATATGTAGCATGACAAATGTTGAAGGTCTTGTCAGAAGTTCCGATGTCTTCGGGAGCGGAATAAGGGGATTGATCGTCAGAACGCGGCGTTATCAATCTTTTGATGTTCCTTGGGAGCCCACGTGCCTTATTTGCCCGAGTTTGAGCAGCTGCAGATGGGCAGCTCATATTTACGGCGCCGAGAGTTAAAACGTTGTCCTGCGGGAAGGGACCTCATCTTAAGTTCCAACTTTGACTAAAAAGGTTTTAGTAAAGTGATCTATCTTTCCAAATCTTTCCGAATCAATGACCATATTCCTTTGTTGTTCGGTAGGTATGTTGTAAAATATCTGACAAGTTTGTACATTTTGCTGCGAATTGCGAATCAACCTGAGACAATTTTGTGTTGTTTGATCTTTTGAAATAGTTTGAGCGAGCCCTTAGGGCAGAACATGCTACAAAATCAGTAGATCTAAAGTTTCTCTTTGTCGTTATCTGCTGGGCCGCTCAGGTTAGTTAGGGGTCATGCTGCATTTTCTGGACGGTCCTTGACTGTGTGTGCGGTACGCACAGAGCCTGTGCCGCTGTTCTTGTCCTTCTCACCTGGGGACGCCACTGCCTTCCACAGCCGTCTGCGGCTGCCGCTGGTGGACCTACACCTTCCTGGCCTCAGCCGTCTTCCTGTACAGGCTCCTTGGTTCAGCCGATTCCCTGTATACGCACAGGGTCCCTGGCTATTGCCGTCTTCCTGTACAGAGTCTCTGGGCCAGCCGTCTTCCTGTATAGGGTCCCTGGGTCTGCCGTCTCCCTGTAGGGTTCCTGGGCCAGCCGATTCCCTGTAGGGTCCCTGCAGGTCAGCCGTCTTCCTGTATAGGGTCCCTGGGTCAGCCGTCTCCCTGTACAGCCTACCGACCCAGCCGGAGCCAATCTCGCTGACTCTGTAAGGCGCCCGGTGCCGGGACCAAGTAATCAAAGTACATTAAACCGTCCACACGGATGTGAGGGAATGCTTTAATGTGATGCGTTTTAGTGGTGTAATGTATGAATTCGGTTTGTCGCTATATAACAGGGAAACTAATGGTAGCTGCGTGTCTAATGGCGACTAAATGTGCAACAGATGGGCATTTGTATGATGATAAGTGACTGGCGTAAATCATTCGAGGCAGATGTGTTATATATTTTTGTAGATATAATTGTTTCATATATGGATTGCTGCTTTGTTTACCATTCCGCTCCTCGTTTTACGTGTTCTGTTAGCTCGCGTGTGATTTTGTAAATGGTGTTTCAAATGTATCAGGCCACTCGATCCGTGGCGCTGAGTGTCGTGACTCATGAGGTCATGTTGGACTTGTTTGTATATTACATCTTCATGGTGGAGCTTTCGCGGAACTTGGCAATGTATGGTATACATATCCATTCGCTTATGTCCTCATTAGATGACTAAATATACCTAATGTTCTAAAATTCAATCATGGCGCTATCGCCTGAGCAAACACTGGTGGCCGACGAAAACAATAGAAGGTTCGTTGTCTCTTTGGCGTGGTCGATGGGAATGTTCAGTCGTAATTAACCCGTTGAACTTTGTGCAATATAAACATTATCAACTGTGATCTGGCATCGCATGACGAGCAGCGGGCTCTTCGTGACGTCTTATTCGCTACGGCATGCTTTTTTTTGCGGAATTCTGTCAAATAGCATCATGCGATTGTTCTCCGTCTGCCCTTCTTTGACATTTGTCGGCGATAGAATTCGTGACAACTAATTCCATTTTCCTTAGTTTTAGTCTCATTTAAATGGCAGGCTAAGTGATGATATTTAATAATAACTGCACCCATGCGAAGCCTCGCTAAGCAGCACCGTGCTTGCTGAATGAGAACAATGGGAAGAATTCATTTACATGATTTTTGTCCATAATTGTTTCACGCCCGTCCGGTCCCGTGCCGTGCCGTGCCGAGCTGTGCCATTTCGTACCGTCCCGTCCCGTTCCGTTCACCCACCTGGCTCGGCTTGTGTCTCCCTCTATACCGACCAGTCCCGTTCCAGTCCGTTTCCGTCCGTTTCCGTCCCGTCCCGTTAAAATTCTCTCGTCGGCCTTTACCTACCTGGCTCCAACGGCTGCTGGCGGTACAGTAGGTCTATTAAAAAAGTCCCCAGCACCAGTGGGCGCTGCCTTCGCTGAGCCGAACCCCCGTCTGCCCGTCCCATATCGCGCCGGGCTCAGGTCAGGTAGGGTCAGCGGGACCGCTCGGTCCGGCCCGCGGGCGGTGGACGGGCGGCCGGTAACGCTTTCCGCCAGCCAGCTGTAGAATCCAACAAACGGGACGGCCACCGCTCAGCGCAGCGAAACCGGTGTTAAAGAATGGCAGTAGATGTTCATGGCCACAATGATTATGAGATAGTCATTGTTAGCCCGTGCCCCACAGGAATGCCTAGACTCTCAAGCCCTGTTGGAGGGGAAATGGGGATTGAGCATCATTCTTATAACTCAGCTTTGGGCATTTAAGTGGTATTCGAAGTAGCGTCAAAAGTAGCAAAAAGAAGAAAAGATACTTCAGCCAATTTTAGATCGGGTCAGAGCAAAAGATCATGTCACCAGAGGTCATCGATGATAAAATTTTGCTTGGACGGGGTGCGTTGCGTGCACCGGTGCATTGGGTTTCCAATTTCCATGGATGCATCAACAGACTCGGAAGCTCGTAACGCTAGCGTGGAGCCGAATTCATATCAACCGCCGCAACGATGCATGGCAGTGCAGCGCAGCGTGCTGCAGCGCGGGGCCGTGAAACACCGCCCACGGCTATCCATGTGTCATTGTGTCAAGGCAATCCAACCCACGTGATGGGCTCGGCCCCAACGGAGCATGAGGCCCAGGACTTCCGCCCAGGCCCCCTGTCTCCCCCTGATTCCTATCATCCTTCCCACTCTGAAATTGACCGAAAGAGCCTAACCTAACACAACAAGCAGCTCGTTTACCGCTATGTCTGAATAATATTGTCAGATTGAATTAAGGTCAACGGCTAAGCACGTAAATAACAGCAACTGCCATCATCGGTATTATAAGAAAACCAAATGCTTTTCCACAAACACTAAAAGTTTTAAGCTAAACTTGCATGAAATTAATTTTACCATCCTCGTGTTCCTCTTATCAAAACGCTTCGAATGAATAAAAAGTTGATCTTTAAAGGTCATTTGAAGAATTTGGCCGACGTTCAAAGACATGACCTGACCAGAAATGATCATGATGCATAGCACGATATTAGATCCGTATCGTGGAACTTTACAAACACTTTAGATGATTTCATAACTTAAGCATGTCTAGCAAAAATATTTATTACATGGCTCATGTGTAAGCTGGGTGTGTGATCATGCTTACGAGTATGTTGAACGCAACTAATAATGTTCTGTTGGCCACAATTTCTATATTTAATTTATCCTCCCGGATTTCATATTTTTATTAATGACACCTTGACGATGTCGAGAAAAAAACGCTTAGGAGATTTAACAGCCTGAGATACATTCAGTATAAGGAAGGGTCAAGGGTGCTAGATTCCTTCCGTCCTCACTATCCTCAGGAAAAACCAATCCGCATCGCCCCTAGTCTTCATGCTTCCCTCTCTGGACTGGAGGTCACCCCACCAGCCAACCTGTAGTTGATGTCGGTTCCATTCCAGGACACATAATCCTCTTCGGGTGACCGTTGGGGAGACGACTGGAACGCCCCGACAGGGCAATCGTCCCACGGGAACAGTCACGCTTCCGCAGATCACTGTCGCTGGCTCGCACAACCAAATTACTACACCAGAGCATAGTTATGTCATAGCTCTGCAAGGGCCTTCTCAGACCGAAAAAGAGGGCTCCCAACAAAACAAACAATTTTCTCATTCAGTATTGTATCTCATCAGGCACCACATGTTTTCAGACTTCAGAGTGTTTATTATGCGTTCCGTCCAAAAAAAGCGCAGTTCAACTTTCTCCCATTGACTTTAGCGATCTCAAAATTGACCCGACCTGTCTGTCAGCAATGTCAAACTTGCAAAGTAAACGTTTCAAATGCATATACTGTTGCCCATTGAAATCGCTGAAGGTTCTAAAGCGATCGGTTAATCGATGCATTTAGATATGATGAGCACAGGAACTTTCCTTGAGGTAAGGTCACTTGACGTGGTGTTATGACCTTCAATTGAAAGACTTGGGCGGAAATAAATGGGTCATTTGAAATCTTAAAATGTTAGATTTTAACGATAATTGCAAACACTATCCCGGCCAAATAGTGAGTGAGAAGGGAGCGATTCCCCAACCCCATGTTTAGCTCCTATAATTGAGCTAACTGCTAGAGCCTCGCGGAAAAAACGAGCGCTTGCGTCGTTACGTGACGCAGCGACTGTTACCCCATTTTAAGATATCAGTGACCTCTTAGGGCAGGTCAAGGGCCCCATGGCATTGAATCGGTTTTTGGTGAAAAACTTCGCAAAAAATGGTCGCATTATCGTCATTTCGATACAATCGTGTTTTCTGTTCTCAGACGCGTCGATTTATATGCTGTTTTGCTTAGGTGAAGCAATTTAGGATGTTTAGGTCAATGTCATGTTAGAGCAACACAGGTCACGAAGCTCTTGAAAGGAGGACTCAGGACATGTTGCACATCATTTGATTCGGCAAGTCTTGCAGAGTCGATTGATGGCTGTCCCGACTGGCTAGCTCATTTTGATCGGGAGTTATTGACGAAGCACTCCTATTGACAAGCACTCCGTCACGCAAGGTGAACAATGCAAAAGTGAAGCATTAAACCTTGCCAAGAATGTATGAAGTCACGATTTCATGTGCTTGAGGTATAGTTTTATGTCATTTCCGACGCCAAATTAACCCTCGCCCGTAAACGGTGTTTTGCCACCTTCGCCCATGCAGGGGGGGGGGGGGTTGGTGCGACCCCCCCTGGCGTTTGAAAACGAAGCGTCATAGAGCTTAGCGGAAACGACCAACGGATTGCTCTCAACGAGATCTCGCGATTGGTGGTATATTTTTGGTCCTAGGGCAACATTTGACCTACTTATGACCGGTCAAAGGTCAAATTTTCGGAAAAATCTAACTTTTTCAGATTTCCGCGCCGATTGCGGCAAAACGGTAAGAGATATCGACTTGAAACCTTCACTATCGTGATCCTTGATCAATTCTCTATCGTTTGGTGTGTATTTCGATGTCATAACTCTAAAAATGATGCGTTGGGAGCATCGGAAGTCTGCAAGGTCATTTGTGCATTGGGTCACGTCAGGCGTGTGACGTCACTGACCTGACCCTGACCCAAAATGAACTACAAGAAACAACCTACGATGCCTCAAATGGATAGCAAATTCGAATTCAGGGCATCAAAATACTCTGAAAAGGCATGCAAGTGCAAGAAGTCATTACAGGTCAATCGAGGTCACTGACCTTACCTTGACCTTAAGTGACCTTCAAAATGTCAACGGACATTGTGCCAATGTTAAATCAGCCAGTTGTGATTCTAAAACAATCCATCAGTGCGTCAGGTCAGTCGGCATTTATACCAATGTGAAGCAATCTCCAATTTAGCGTTAATCTGGCCGGAGGTTGTTCCCTTTATGACGTCACAACTCCGTGACCTGACATGACCTTGACAAAAAAATTACCAAAAGTTGCGCAAAGGATGCCCCATAGGGTACTGAAAATTTGAGCAGGCTATCTGAAACGGTTCGGCGTGTAGCTAAGAAAAACCTCAGGGGGGGGGGGGTTCAGGCGCGGATACAAGGGGGAGGGCCATGGGGGCCATGGCCCCCCCCCCCTTGGCCGATTTTTTTCAAAAATAAAATAAAAAGTTAAAAAGTTAAAAAGCTGAAAAGGGGGCCTCCTGAAAATAAAGTGGCCGAAATCCGATGAGTTTTTTTTTAACCTACCCACTTAGTTATTTCTTAGAAGACTAGCTGAGAAGACTTCTTTGTTAGAAGATTGGTAAAGCTTTTCATAACTTGGAGGTCTCTTATACTCACAGAGATGACCACTTTTACAGGGCCTCCTAACCTGCACAGAGGGCCTCCAAGCCTGCACAGATGTTGAGATGTTGCCTGAACAGCTAGATAAGCTCAATAGACGCAGTTTCTTTTTTTTTTTGGGGGGGGGGGCCCAACAAGTGGGAAGATGGGGCCTCCAACAGGTGGGATTATGGGGGGGGGCCTCCTGGTTTCTAATGGCCCCTCCCTTGGAGATTTTCTGGATCCGCCCCTGGGGGGGGGGGGGTGCACCAACCCCCCCCCTACATGGGCGATATTTTCCCATTATGCTTATATGACACTAAGTGCATTACGGATTTGCATCATTTTATAACCGACAACCGTGCAGTCTGCAGAGGTTTACTTAAGACGTCATAGTTAAGTGACCTGACATGAAAACGTAGTTGATTTCAAATGATCCGGCTTGAATCAAATGTAAGGCATATGAAATGCCAGCCTTCTATCATCAGTGTGCTTTGAGCTACCACAAAAAATACATGGTGGCGGCATCCACCCCTTTTTCTCGGCCGGCGAGGGTTAAACCTCGCTTCGAATTATTGCAGATAATGATGCGACCGAAAACAAAGTATTTATCTGTGTCTAGAACGGCCGCTGACTTGTTGGACAGGATCCTTAATCCTAATTTGCTAGATGGGAATAAAATACTCGGTATATGATACATATATATATACCCCTCGATTTGCCCTCGCGCTAAGTCAATTCTAATCATCACTGTCGCTTTTTTATCCGAGATGATGTCGCCGCTAAACGGGTTGTTTTGGTTGCTTGCTTGCGTTGAATGGTCATTACGGATTATTGAAGGATTATGAGATACATAATAGGAATGGGGCAAGGGAAGATATGCACTGCAGTGCAGGTGTTTAATTTAGATCACAAAGGCATCATTTCCGGCATCGTGCAGAGTCACTATCTTCCCCTCCTCTGCACTGCGGCATCGCTGCGCCCCACACACGGCGTCCTCACTCCACGGCCGGCCGCCGCCAACTGACCCACTCGCCGGGCGCCGCGACCTGACCCGTGTCACTGCCGCGGCCTGCGCAATAGAGTCGGGGCTGGAATCCGGGGGTTCGGCCGGCCGGCCGCCTCTGGAGCGGGGGACTTTTTTAGTAGACCTACTGTACATATGTACCTGGACTACACACCTGCCTCTGAAGGCTGCTGGCGGCGGTACGAACGTACCTGCTTCGGACGGCTGCTGGCGGCGGTACGTACCTGCCTCTGAAGGCTGCTGGCGGCGGTCGTTATCGCGCCGGAAGCGGGAAGCCATCTCACTGGCGTAGCCGGCGTAGCTGCCACCCATCCGTCGGTTGTAGCGGCGGTGCATGGCGTCAGCAGAGTGCTTCGGTCCGGACGAGGAATCACCAATCCTGCCCGAGCGAACAGAACCCGTCAAAATAGGTCACTTGAGGGTGCAACATCATTCAAGGTCAGCGATAGCCACAGGGAGTCGAGTCATAGAGGACCTCTGAGTCGGCAGGAGGCTGAAGAGGCTGGCAGGGGCAATGGAGGTCTTTGGGGTCAGCTCGAGCCGCAGGGACCGTCAAGAGCAAGCCACGACGTCGTCAGAAGCAGCCGATATTCTGCGGGGGGCGGCGGAGGCTGGGAGAGGTTCAATGGTGCTGTCGCTCCGTGCTGTTCGGAGTTGGCCAGCGGAGATGGAGGACAATACATCGACGGGACAACACGTATGCAGTTAGTCACTGTCCACACTAACATTCGTAGCCGTCAATATTATTGGAATTGAGCTGATTGTTTGGGAGCAGGTATGGATCAACGGCTAGGCGAGCTACTTAGGTATCGTTCAAATGAACTTTACAAATGCCGCTATGGTATAGGGCAGGTATTCCGTAGAAGGAGCAAATAGGCGCACCTGCAAATTGTATACGATTAGGTGGTACGTGCTGGGTACTGACTAGAAAATTGTGCGGATCCTAGATTCTCAACTTCAAACATTATCATTCGCTGATGCAATGTGCCACAAAACCATGAGCTACGTCCGTGCCAGGGTAGGTATTACTGTGACATGGAATGTCGCGACGAAGGAAATCTACGAACGACAGAGAGTGTACGGGGAAACAGAGCCCAGTCTGTGTTATAGATACCAGCCTACCGAGAAATCAGGGACGGTCGAACATCCGTTGAGATCGAGCGCTTTACATCCGGGAGCACGGACACGGTTCTCAATCGCACCATGAAAAATGCTCAAAATAAGCTGAATACTAATAGTTAAACACAATTACAGGAAATGGAGCATAAAATAAGGTATATGTCATTGAAAAACAACGGATATGTTAATAGTTCTAAGACCTCGTCTTTATCAATATTGCGTGCAACTTATCTGTTTGCCTTTATCCTAAAAACGTAACGTTATAATGAAATAATGCCAAAGTTAAAGCAGGCTTAACGGTTTATCCTTCTAGTGCAACGAGTGGAATGTGAGGGCATAGAGTAATCACGCGAATTATAAGGAAAGTGATGAAAGCCATGCTGCTTTGTACCAAAACATGGTTCTAAATATAGCGTTAAGTCCCATTCGTTCTCAATATTATCATGCGCGACTGTTGTCAATGTCATTGTTAGGAAGGAAATAATGATGGATAGCTGTCCGGTATTTTATAACTCCATAATTACCTCCTCACGAATTGCGACATGCTTAGACACAGCATATGAACCAGTTAATATTTTCCCTGTAGACTAGTTAGACCTGCCTTTTCGCTCGTAAAAGCGTCTGATAGGTCAGTGTGCAATGCATAAACATACCATAATAATAAACATACGGTATCTGAATTCCCATGCTTTTAGGTCTCTTTATGATACTTCAATAAATATCATTATCGCATCGCTTCCTAATCTTTATGCAAAAAAGTCATATTTTTATCTTTCGATAAGCCAAATATGCATTATCATTTGAAGTTTGTTTATATTGATGTCAATAACCATGGGCTCAACAGCCGAGCTAGCCGAGAGTACCCTCCGTGCCGGGCGGGTGACCCGACCCAGCGACCCCCCGTGCCAGGCTGGTGACCCGACCCAGGGTCCGTCCGTGCCAGGTGGGTGACCCGACCCAGGGTCCCTCCGTGTCGAGCGGCTGACCCGACCCAGCGACCCTCCGTGCCGGGCGGGTGACCCGACCCAGGGTCCCTGCGTGTCGAGCGGGTGAGGCGACCCAGCGACCCCCCGTACCGGGCGGGTGACCCATCGGCCAGCGTCCCTCCTGGTGACCCGACCCAGCGACCCTCCCAGGGGGCTGGTGAGCCGACCCAGGGTCCCTCCGTGTCGAGCAGGTGACCCGACCCAGCGGCCAGCGTCCCTCCGTGTCGAGCGGGTGACCCGACCCAGGGTCCCTCCGTGCCGGGCGGGTGAGCCGACCCAGGGTCCCTCCGTGCCGGGCGGGTGACCCGACCCAGCTACCCTCCGTGCCGGGCGGGTGATCCGACCCAGGGTCCCTCCGTGCCAGGCGGGTGAGGCGACCAAGCTACCCCCCGTGCCGGGCGGGTGACACTCACCGGGTGTCGGTCGGTTCCTGGCGAGGGGCTCCTCCGAGGGTCGAGTAGCCAAAGTAGGGTACCGGGGAGAGCGAGCGCTGCTCTTCTGCTCGGCGGCTGGGCCGACTCGGTGAGAGGGCAGCTTCACTGTAAGAGAGGTACAGGGCACAAGTGAGGGGCAGCTGAGGGAGACCTGAGGGTAACGTAACGGGGTAACGGAACAAAGGAGTTGGTGAGACGCATGTGGCAGGCAAGGTAAAGTTAACTTTACCAGCAGAAGGCAGCCGTGCGTGCGTTTTCAGTTCAACAACTGTGGAACTAGAGCTAAGTCTTGATCGAAGGGAGAGTGTGCGTAGTTGCGTACCGCGCACCGTGTAAGAAACGGAAGCCGTGGACTGATTGAAGTACGTCAAAATCACTCGCTGGTCATGCAGGAATGGACAATCGGACACCTTGTTCAAACATCATGAATAGCCTAACGCTGTAAGAAGATCAGGCCCAGAGTGGTTCGGCCAGACACCATGCACGTTGCACAATAAATTCATGAGCGAAATACCTAAAGGTCGAGTGCCACACATCAGGTACGACTCGTCCTGACCACAGTGGTTGCCGCTACCCCAAACGGCGCATTTCTATAAGACGTATAAAGCCGTGGAACGAGCGACTGATGCGCTGGGCGATCGGTTCAGGAGGAGCGCTGCGGGTTGTTTCCAATTATCCCATCCCGGGAAACGGTCGCCGTGCATGGTGCAGGACAAGCCGTGCAGGAGCTCGTGCACCGAATACGGGAGTATACGGAGCCGGTACGTCAGGCGCGTCCCCGCCCTCCGTCATAAAGACGAGCTCTGACATTGGCACAAAGCCGTGACTGGCATGACAACAGGCCCGATCGGACAGTTTGGCGATACATCATTGCATAGACACGGAGACGCGGACACACCGGTCATGCAGACGGTATCGTATTCGGAGGTCTCGTGAAGGGGCTGCCAGTCTGGCGGCCAGCAACCCCTCCCCATGAGTTGTTGAGGAACCCAGGTGGCTTCCTGCCAAGGTCAGCGCGGGCACAACAGACTACTGCGGACCGAGGTGTAATTTTCAAAGGAATCGGCCGCATACCATCATCACTACGAATCTGGGCGGATCCCCGGCGCCGGCAGCCGGAGGTGAATTTCGTCATCTCGACTCATGAGCTGACCCCGGGGAAATGGGTCGGTTACCACGCCATGGTGTGAGGATGTGCGTCATATAGTCTGTAAGTGAGCACAATGCTGAGAACCCTCAGCGCCGGTATAGTGCAACACGTCACGGAGGTAGCCGGAAAAGGGATGAGTGACCAGATGTCTGGGATGACTGTTTGCGGAATAATGACGAAAGACATCCTCTCAGATAATTCACCGTCGCTGGACGGTACAGAGCTGCCCTACTTACAACTACCAATGGTTTGAATGTGAGAAAAACAATGAACTTACGTATTATAAAGACTGCGTGAAGAGGGGCTTCAAAACAAACGAATCACTGCCATTAACACAATAATAAATAATTTTACAGGGTACCGAGTTAAACGAAGTTGCGCACGAGCTGGAGCATTGTCCAGCATGGATGTTTTATAGCAAAGGCTGCATAAAAGTAGTGACGTACCGTTTCGATGAGCGGTCGGCAGCGGTCGCGGCCCGTCGCCTCCTTTCCTGGTCGGTGCTCGGAGCGCGGCAGTTTCGGTCGGAGAACCGACCGGGCTCGGTGTCGTCGGGGCTCAAATAGTCCTCGAAGTCGCGGCGGTAGTAGTCACCGGAGCGGCTGTAGTCGCCTGAGCGCCAGCAGTCGCCGGAGTTGTATAAGTTTTTCGAGCGCCTGTGGTCGCCGGAGCGGTTGTAGTCGCCCGAGTTACCGTCGTCTACGGATCGGCTGGGGCCCGGGCGCGGAGAGTTATAGTCTCGCTGTGGGTACCGGTCGTAATCTCGCTGCGGGCAGCGGTCGCAGTCTCTGCGCTGTCGGTAGTCGTCGGCGGCGGGGGACGGGTACCTGCGGGAGAGGCGCTCCTCGCTGTCTCCCGGGAAGGGCGGTAGTGCCGGAGAGGTCGGTCGGCGCTGACCGCGTCGGTCGGGGCGGGATGAACGAGTCTGAAACGCACCGGGAGACTGGTCAGGAAACGCCGTCAGATAGCGGGAAACGCCGTCAGATAGCGGGAGACGCAGTCAGCGGCGGTCAAAGGGAGGGAGGGAGGAGAGGGAGGGAGGGAGGGAGGAGAGGGCCCGTTCAGCGGAGAGGAGTGGCAGGGAGTGGGAGTCGGCTCGGCTGTTACCGAGGCCGAGAGAGCCGCCGTGGAATATATTAGCAGTACGCCGCGCAGCAGGAGAGCGAGTTTTTTCGGAAGGTGAACCGGGCCCACATGACCTTGTGTGACAGCCGACGGAGGACATGAGAAACGGTGTGATTCCATCAGTGCCGGGAGCAGCCATGGAAGAATGTCGCTTCGACACTAATGCTAATAAAAAGATAAGAAAAAACACTCACTTTTTGCCATAGCATATACAGCCTTTCGCCCGCACACACATATTTTTCAGCAGTGTCAATGTCAAAACTTGCTTTTTTGTTGAAACCGATCTTTCATTTGGTCAGTAATGCGTTACATATTCATAATGGAACTTTGTGTGAGCTTTTGCATGGAGTTAGCGAAAACAACTTGTAGGTATGCATACGTCTCATAAATATAGTGTACGATTTGTCGGTTACCATCAAATTGTTCAAGTAATATAAAGTCCATGAGTGATCGAACCGTACATGGAATGTTGTAACGGAGCCCGACCGCGCAGCATTGTTTTATCAACACCACGGCCCCTAAATATACCTACCGGCTGGCAGCTGACGGAAATTTCTCCAACTGATTAGTTGGCTGCTTAGTTGACTGGTTTGAGGACTGAAAAAATGATAAAACGGGGCAGAAATCCTTCCAGGGATTTGAGGCCAGGTGTTCATTTCAGCCACGGTAATTAACGTACGCAGCCCAGACTAGACCTTGCCATCCTTGTTCGCCATTCGACGAAGTGAACCTGATTCTTGAAACATGAACACGAACAGGGTTATGACATACAAGACCAGCTCGCCATGCACTATACTTTCGCGACGAATACCCATTATTCGTGGAAAAAATATGAAAATCAAAATCGATCAAAAGCAAAGCAAGCAGATTTTGTGCTCAGCTATCAGACCGGTGTTTGCTCAGCCATTTACTATGCCCCGTGTCCCAGGTCCCGACTCACCGGTCACGACGGCCCGCAGACGGTCACCACTCTGAAAGTCGCCCGGTTGCCGCACCGGCACTATTTATACAGTCCGTCTCCTATGCCCAGCTCCGTCCCCTGGCTGAGCCTCCCCGCCAGGGGGCGCGCGGGCCGCGACGGTGGCGCCCCCCCCCCCACCCCGACCCCCCCCCCCCCGGCGGACCCCGGAGCAGCCCCGGAGGGCCTGTCGCGCCGGCGGCACTTCCAGGAAGGTTTGTCCGCTTGCCTGTCGCGCCAGGCGCCGCAAATAGGCCTACCAGTCATGCGCGATGGGGTGCAAGACGAGGCAAATTGAGGGTGCAACGGCGTCGGGTGATTTTGGATGGCTGGAATGGTGTTACATATGCTTCACCAGTGCAGAGGATAAACGAGACATTAGTAACCGAGAGGGATGTAAGTGGGACCGATATTATTTGTGACGGGGCTGCAGCCGCTAAAAGAATGGAATGACCTCAGAAAAATCATTTCGGAAAGCACGATGAAACGCTTTGCAGGCTGGAAGAGGGCATACTGTTGCCATTATGCTGAAATCTAAAACTGATAGACCTTACCCTGTGCAGTTTGCTAGGAGTGGGGCGAAGACCGAGGTAGTTATGAATGCCTAATTTTATTTGTTCCTCTGCAGAGCCGTTTACGTTGCGATGAAAATACGCCAACCGTTTATCGTTATCCTTTGCCATTATAAGACGTCATAATAGGTCAGTGACCTGATCTGACCTGAAGTGCGGTTGGTACCTATCAAAAGATCTAACTTGAATCAAGAGTAAATAAGCCAGACTTCAGTTTAGCATTCTGCGTTCCAAACAATCGCGAAAAAAAGGGAGATGCACAATGCCTTTTTTGCCCAGATAGGGCTTGACTTCGAAACCGAAGACCGACCTTTTTCATTGTTACCGCGTAGCTCTTCAGTCTTCAGTCTGGTTACCGTGGGAGCACTGCGACCACACTGCCCGTCGGCCCGGCTCGGCGGCGTTTTATGCGAGCCGTGGGTCGGTCACGGTGGCTTCCCGTAACCCAGGACGGCAAGCTGCCAGTTTTTGTCACACGCAGTTGAGGACCAGCGCCTCTCACGCTATACAAACATCCTTGCATGAACCACTATGTAGATATAACAAGCTTGAAGCATTATGTGTATTAATTAGTTGATTCGCTCAGCGGAACGATATGCCCTTGAAACATACATAATGAAAATAGAGAGGATTTGCGTTAAATCGTTTGTGCCAGAAAAACCCTCACATATCCTATTAGTTCTCGAAATGCCGAGCATGGGGAGAGGAACGGACATGACTCACTGCTAGCAGTTTTACATCGAATTGGACGGTACTCTGCGAAAACTGAACCCCTGAACTGAACGTCCTGCCCGTCTCGAAAGGCACCCGATGATACCCAGCTTGAACCATCGTCATGCTTTTTACTGTGCAGTGTGCAGTGAACTCTTCGTAATAAGTTTCTTGTGTGACCCAGTAGCCGTTTTCACGACGGCCATCTGGTACACATTTGGTGCACATCTGGTACAGATTAGGTGCAGATTTGGTCAAATCAGGTTCAGTGTGTCTTTTAGTAGCTATCAGCTAGGGCTGCTCTAATTGGGTATTTGCCTGCTTTGTCATATTATCAGAGAGCATCATCGATTAAAACACTGAAATAAATTCATAAAATGAAGATATTTGCTGTAAAAGAAATTAGGTGCAGATTTGGTCAAATCAGGTGCATTCGCCGGATAGCCCGTCGTGAAAACTGCTAGTATGAACTCCGTACTTTTTAACTGTTGACTCCACTCCGAATTAGTTTTGCTATTTGAGGCCACTTGGGTCTACTCATATTTAGAACATGTTAGGGCCACTGGGTGAGAAAAAAGTTGAGCTGCAGTGCAATTGGCTTGGGCCGCACCTACTGAGCCCGCCCCGCTGCCGTGAACGTGCGGCGTTGGGAGAGACCATGCGGATGTCAACTCCATGCATTTCGATACCCCTAAAATATGTGTAGGAGCTGCCCATGGGTGGTACAGCATTCATTCAGAGCCTGGGTACAGTGACGGTCATCCCGAAATAGGGCAATGGCGACTGGGTTATGTGTCAGTCATCCAAGGTCGTGACTCACCAGTCAAAATTGCGCTCACTTGACCGTCGTCGCACAAACCCAAAGACGTTTTCCTGAGCTATTTGAATTATTGATAACAAACATGACGAGTTCTGCGCCGCCAGTTGATTGTGTTGTCAACAACAGAGAAAAACAGGAGGCGTGGATATACGCAGTTGCTCTTTATTTTCGTCCATAACCCAGTGCATAAACTGACCGTACATTTCAGAACAAGCATGGCGCTCTTGGAATGGGCGTTGAGAGCTTTGGCGCCAGATCGGCCATCTCTGGTACCCGTGTCAGTTCCCGGTGTGTCTGCATTAGTCGGCCGCGACGAAGGGGTTCTGGCAGTGGTGCGTCTTTGTCTCCTGACCCGGTATGGCCGTGGCGTTCCTGATCCAGTCCAGGAAGGCGCTGACCCTGGTGTACAGCTCCGGCACCCACGGGTAGCCGCAGTCACCGAAGGCGCTCGAGACGACGCCGACCGCCCGGAACTGACCAAACTCGAGCAGCGGGCTCCCAGAGTCGCCCTGCCGAAGTTTAGTGCACAAATTATACAATTAGGTTAGCGGTAATGAGTGATGAAACCAACAACGGTACATGCTAGAGAAACGAAACATCAATAAAGTATTCCGTGTCAAAAATGAATAGCAAAGAGGAGAGAGAGAGAGAGAGAGAGAGAGAGAGAGAGAGAGAGAGAGAGAGAGAGAGAGAGAGAGAGAGAGAGAGAGAGAGAGAGAGAGAGAGAGAGAGAGAGAGAGAGAGAGAGAGAGAGAGAGAGAGAGAGAGAGAGAGAGAGAGAGAGAGAGAGAGAGAGAGAGAGAGAGAGAGAGAGAGAGAGAGAGAGAGAGAGAGAGAGAGAGAGAGAGAGAGAGAAGGCAGACGGTTGCACAAATAGACAAACGAAGATAGAGCTCTAAGACACTCACTCGTACCTACTACAACTTACGAAGCAGATGCCCTGGCCATTTTCCTTGGGAACGGCGCAGAGATGGTCGTCTTTCCTGAAGCCGCCGCTGAAAATGTCCAACTCTATCTGTGACTGTGTGGGTACATCTCCACCAGCCAGAGCCAGCTGAATCTTATCGCGGCAGTCGCTGGCACTGACTGCCGTCATGTTGAGCTCGCTCAGCACGCTGTTCGAGACTGGGGGAACAGGGGCAGCCGGTCACCTCGAGCATGGGGGAACAGGGGCAGCCGGTCACCTCGAGTCTGGGGGAACGTCTGGGGGAGCAGAGACAGCCGGTCACCTCGAGTCTGGGGGAACAGGGACAGCCAGTCACCTCGAGAGTCACCTCGCGTCTGGGGAAACAGGGTCAGCCGGTCACCTCGAGTCTGGGGGAACAGGGGCAGCCGGCCACCTCGAGTCTGGGGGAACAGGGGCAGCCGGTCACCTCGAGTCTGGGGGAACAGGGGCAGCCGGTCACCAACTGGTAGGTACAAGCCGGCCGGCACAGCATGGAGCTCATAGACGCACTCCATGCTTAAAATCTCATGTGACAGCCGATCTTTTTGCTTGAGCCTTGATTTCTGACAGTTTTAAATGGATTTACTTTCAAGTAAACTGTAAAAACAGCATGCATAATTCTATATGCACAAAACGGCCAGTTATGCTATAAAGATACATGTAATTTATCTGCAATATCACTAGCTGGAATATCAGCACTATAAGGGTAGAAACCAAATTGTCACTAGAAGGTAGCAGTAGTGGGCGCATTCTGCGCCACTTGTATGTTTCCGTTTGCCCTGCAGAACTATACCTATTTTACTACATTTATTAACTAAACCATAATCGGTAACACCATTTGGTTCTTTCCGCATTTGTTTTATGAAAACGTTCGGGCGTAAAATGCAGCAGCATGGATGAAAAACTACGGCAGTAGTATTTTACGCCCTTTTATGAAAGGGGGCAATGGTTACGAACGTAAATACCAGAGGTTTACGGACAAGCTTCTGAGCGTTACAGGCTGCAGCCCTCCCCCTGCCTCTGCGACCCACACAGGTAGTCGTAAATCTCTCCCCCTGCCTGTGTGACCCACGCTGGTAGCTGAGGGTCCGCTCAGTGATGCCCCAGCCGGCGACGGTGACCGTCTTTCCGGCCAGGTCTCCACTGGGACCGTCCGGCAGCGGAATGGTGCACACAGACGAAGAGAAGGCGATCTCCCGGCTGAGACGCAGCAGCGCGATGTCGTAGTTCAGCACACCTGCCTGCTCCGCCGGGCCGGAAATACAGAGACGTCAGAAAACCGCACCGCGGCCAGAACATGGCTTGCTTCGAGAACATAACGTATGCTTTTCATACACTACACAGATGTATGTACACGCAACTTTCATAAACGTAAATAAGACATCCTTCCTAAGGATTCGTTCCATATTAGATCAGATAGGTCGAATCGTTACTTACTTCATAGTTTGGGTGCAATATAATGCGCTCGACGTCATATTCTGTGTGGTTTCCTTCGATGAAGGTGGATGAATCATACTCCCCCAGTCGGACCCGAAGGGAGTCTCTGCAACATCAACAAAGCAGCACGATGTCCAACGTCCATCATTGGTAATCGGCCGAATTTAGATGAGCAATTTCCATATGAGTTAATAAACACGTAAGTCTACAGAATATATTGCGTATTTTTTTTTTTTTACTGTGATACTATCAAATTCAA